AGAAAAAAAAAAAAACACATCTACTCATCCATCATCTGTACCCACTTATTTCACAGAGCTGCCAGGGACTTTCTCCAGTGGTAATTGAACGAGAGTCTGGGGGAAAAACCCTGGACAAGTTACCGGTCCATTACAGTGCATCATAGAGAGACACAGGACAAACACACACACACACACACACACACACACACACACACACACATACACACACACACACACGGTTATACCAAGGGGCGATTTAGAGGAACCAATTAATGGTTTTGGGCTGTGGGGGAAAGCTGGAGTACCCAGTAAGAATCAATGCATACATAGAGAGAAAACTCCATGCAAAAAGACTCCAGACTGAGAACCAAACCAACTGTGCCACCGTACTGGCTCCCAAAACGAAACGAAAAAAAAAAAAAAAAAAAGAAAACAGATCTAGTAAAATTCTGAAAAAGTATGATTGATATGAGATGAAGACAGTGAACAGTGTGTTCGTGCTTGAAGTCAATTCTGCAACGAGGAGTCGGAGTGACGGTGTAATAAACTCACTGCCTGTCATCACAAACTTGTGATGCTGGTGGTTGTTGCCAGAACGACAGAAGCTGTTATTAGACTTTAGGAGAAAATTACTTTGCACAATGTGGCAGAGTTGGCTTGGTTAGCTTTCTATCTCTTAATTTCCACCATTTGAAAAGTCAGAACATTTTTCTGTTTCTTCAGGTTATCTCTTGGTCTCACTTAAAATCACGTCTCAGTTGCTTCACAACTTTAACTTTTTATTTGTTTTTCTAAATTTGAATCGTTTTTGTTACATTTTTTATTTATCTTTCTTGCTTTGCAAACAAAAATCTACTCTTTATAAACACTAAGTCAAACTTTCTATTAATTGTAAAAAAAAAAAACAGGGCTAGTTCACAGTTTCTCCAGTGTGATCTGCATTGGTTTGATCTAGACAGGTTCTGTGTTGAATAGAGATTAGCTAGAAATACCTTGACATATGTTAAACCTTTGTTTTTGCTAAAACAATAAGCAGGTGATTTACATCCTTTTTTGGCATTATGAGCAACTTCAATTTATAACTGCAAAGTATGCACTAATGGCACCAGCAATTTATCCTTTTCCATTAGTTATAAGTGTCTTAAAATACAGTTTGCTTTCTGTAAAAGCTTTTCTTTGTGGAAAAAAAATGGGGACTCTAAAATCTGATCTCTTATTTTTCTCAAGCTGTACGCTTGTTAGTGTCCGATGCACCTTATTTCAGTCCTGATCTGTCAAAAAACGAGGAGACTAAGCTTGTTGGACTCAAGCTGTCAGTCACAGCATCCTGGTTCAAATCTGATCCTGTGCAGCAGATGCTTCCAAAAGCCTGACCTACTTTTCTGATGCTCCCCCTGCATTTATCTGCTCAAGTTTTCACTCTGGCTATTCGTTCTTGTTTTCCAACTCCTTTTCGCTCCAGCGTTATCAGCAACTCCCTTTTCCCAACTTTTCTTATCTGGACATGGATGGAAAAGTCATGTGTTGTTTTTTTGAAAGCGACTGGGTAAATATGAACACCTAACACATACAACTGGCAACCTCGCAGCTATGGGTGCTGATCAGCTTGAAACTGAAAGAATAAGGAAAAGAGAAGCCAGAGGTGCTTTGATGTGACGGTAGCAACTCGTTTGGAGTTTTTGTTTTTCTCTGAGAAGCAAAGACACACAGAAAAAAAAAAAGCTATTCCCCCCCTGAAGAAGAGTTAGTCAACCTCCAAAAGCAAACCTTTTGAGTAAAAAAAAAAAAAAAAAGTGCAGCACACACTGCATTAAATTGGCTGAGGCTGAATGTGAAATAACCTGAGGGCTGCAGAGCCAGACAGGTGTGCAGGTCTGTCCGCAGCGTACACGGCCGGAGGCTCCAATGTCTAGATCCTGACTGATGCAGCCTTCACGCATGGACAAAATAATCCTGAGAGGAGCAGAAAGAGAACTGCTGCCTAGAATGTGTCAAAGCTCCTGCTTTCTGGAAGATAAGAGCAAACCTTTCTACATCTGCTACACGGTTTAATAATGACTACCTGAATGCATGAGGTTCTTAACTCAGTAGGTGGTCTGCTTTACAGTCTTGGCGTCATGACAAGGGCATGTCCAGCTACCGTCCCAGATGAGACTCTCTGACACACTAAGACTCTTTTCCACATTCCCCGAATGACTTGGCATGCTCACTCCTCTGAAACTGAACTCTAGGCTGAGACAGGAGGCAAGAAAACACCGAAACTATGCACACGCAGGAGCAAGAGCTGCTATTATGGACTATTAAAGCTGCTGGCATCTGGGCTGCGAGCCAAAGAAAGTGACCGAGTTTGTTTAAAATATCTCCAGCGCCCGTGTTTTAAACTGCTGTTTTCTTTAAGTCGGTGAACTTGGAAAACTGTGAGGTGGGAATAATAGTGGAACGCTTTGATATGGAATGAAAACGAAATGTTTTTTTTAAACGTCTTAGAAACAAAAGTCAGAAAAGCATAAAAGACTCCTTTACTTTGATGCCTAGTTCTAAAATCTAGCGCAAATGAAAGTCCACCTGCTTAGAGCTGCGTTTGATTCATAATAACTGGAACATTGATCATCATATCCGATTTATTTGCTTTATGATTTTGATTATGAAATTAGAGGAGACATTGTTTACGGTCTTTTTCATAGCTGGTTACTGCATTATCTTTTTATGATGTACAGCACTTTGAACTGCTATGTTGCTGAAATGTGCTAAACAAATAAACTCGCCTTGATTTGACTTCCAGTAAAAAAAGATGTAGCCAGAGCCACAAGGGAATGGTCCAAATTGAAGCATATTTATATGATTGGACGATCTAGTCAAAGTTCAGACATAAATCCAAGTGTGAATTTAAGGTAGGACTTGAAAACGGATGTACATCCAGCAAAAAACACAAAATCTTTCTAAGTATTTTTGATCTAGCTTCTAGTGCAAACATCCTAAACATGTGACACTGCCACAAAGCGTTGTACGAACCGAAGGTGCAGCAGAGGGAGTATTTGAGTGCAGCTTTAGTTAAATGATGTAACTGAGTCGATGTGTGTATCCCGCCTGCTTTCTATATGGTGCACACGCAGACTCACACATACATGCTCAGACAGCCGCCGTCTGACTGGCAGGTGATGGGGGCAGGTGCTCTCCAGACACTTGCGGGGGAAGAAGGAAGTGGGAGGGCGGCCATACTTTACATCTGAGTGTTATGTGAGCAGACATGCGTAAAGAAATCAAATCTAAAGCAGCCTATGAGGGAGAAATTCATGCCCAGCTTTTTGGGCTGGTTGTGATCTCTTTCTCACAAAGAGAGGATTTCAAAGCAAAGGGTTATCAAGCGGTCAGTGATCATGCAGAGGACCACCTGGCTGTGATAAACGGCAGTTAAATGGTTCAAGGTCCAGATTTATATGGTATGCTGCTACACATTTACCCAACATGCAGGTGGTGCATTCAGGTCAGCCGTAGCCCTGTTTAGGTAGTGTCTGGTTACATGTGCTTGAGTAACTTTTTGGGGAAAAAAATGACTTTAAAGAGTATTTTTCCTACACGTTTACTTAAGTAACTTTATAAAATATTGTTGATCTTACTTGAGTAACAAAATTCTGTTTACTCTATCCACTCTGCGTAAGGTTGCTTAATCAAAAAAATTACCAGACACAAACACACACACACACACACACATCTTCAGTTTCTGTTAAAGTTTTATATAGAAACAAATTAATTTGAAAATAAAAAAAATTAAATTTGCCTGATTGTGTTATTTTATAATTATTTATAGGAATTATTTTCATTTTGGTCCTTGAAATACCAACATTATGCACATGACTTTATATTTTGATTCCTCTGATGATGTAATTTTTAATTATTGAATGCTTTATGTTATGATCTGTTACTCGGTACTTGAATGTTCTTTATACCAAATACTTTTTAACTCTTATTTGAGTATTTTTTTGGACAGCTACTTTTATACTTTAATATTTTTTATATATATATATATATATATATATATATATATATGTAGTAATACTCTTACTTCACTCTAATTTTTGGGCACTGTGCACATCGCTGCACCTAAGGTAGTAAATCCGACCATTTACACCACCATATTGCGCACCAGCCTATTTACCACCAGACTATTTTATACAGGCACGGCTGCAGACGCCTCACATGACAAAGCACTTAGTCATCAGGTGGGCAGACGGTCTCACCTCAGCTCACCTTCTCTCTGACAAAGTTTGAACAACCAGGGTATTTCCGGACGCTGCACACGACAACCAGACGAGAACTTGAGCGAAGATATGACCTGACACACAAACTCACATTTCAAAACACACGCACACACACACACACACACATATGCGGGTGAGTAAAGTAAAGTGCTCTGCCTGGCAGTGCCCACAGGTAAGTGCGCACGTTTCAGCCTTACGTTGATCTATTCCACAGAAGGGAGGCGAGCGCCAACTTTTAGCCACGTACAGTTCCCCCAGCAAGCTTCCATCTAACATATTCCAGGCATGCACTTACCTGCCTCGCTCTGCAGCGGCTCACTGCTGCGCTGCAGCCATCACATTTAAAGCCTCACTGCCTAAGGAGCTGCTGGAAACATTACCGATGCAAGAAGCAACAGCGTCTTCAAAGGGAATCAAATGCATAGGGAAGGCTAATAATCTCTCATGTACCAAACATTCATCTGCTTGAGATGGATAATTTTACATTCTCCATCCAAGAGGGACTTTAATTTACTTTTTTTTTTCTCCCAAATACAAATCCTAAATTTTTCCTCCTCAGCCTGTGGGTCACCTGGATGAGCTCCACAGCTTCGCTTTCACCAAGTACACAACAGGAAGCACAGCCTCTGTCCCAAACAGCACAGCTCACCTTTCACTCCCTGCTGCAACAAAGTGCTCAGATGACATGTGTTTTGAAGGTGCTAAAATGTTGATTTTATGTGCTCAGTTTGTTGTTTTGAGGGATGACCTGTCCCGTACCTCTCCGGCGTTCGCAGCCTAGCGCGTGTGCTGGACGGCGTCCAGCGGCAGTGTGTGAATCCAGCAGGCCGTCCCGGGGTCAGGCCGAGCCATTCTGCAATCCATTGCTGCCTTGTGTTCCTCTTGGCTTCCCCTCCTCCCTTCTTTGCACTTGGCTTTCTTCCTAATCACAGCAGACTTTTCAGAACTGATGTCCCACTTCTTGGTTTCTCCTCTTTTTGGTCTGCTCTCTCTTTTCCTCGCGTTAGAGCATTTTTAAAAAAAACAGGTTGAAAACACCCGACACTTGCTGCTCTCCTAGCTACTTATAATGCAGATCCAGTCTCTCTCTGAACTTCTCTGCCTCTTTACCCTCCCACTCTCCTTCTCTCTCTCCCTTCTCTCTCTCTCTCTCTTTGCTACTGTTGGGGAAGAGCTCTCCTTTTTCTCTCGTATTCTCCTCCCTTTCTCTTGCCCTTCCTCTAATAGTTATTTAGTGTCTCATTTCAGCACCTGCCCTGACACAGAAAGAGGAGAAAGGGAGAGGGACGAAAACAATGACCCTCTGATGCCAAACTGTATGCAGTGCCTTGAGAAAGGATTCATACTCCGTGAATGTATCTGCACTGTTTAACCTGAAACTGCCATTTTTGCACGAGGCCAGACCTTCTTTTTATTTTGATGTGTCAGATTAAAGGGGAGCTAAATAAATGCATACCTCAGTCTTCAGAGTCCTATGCAGGCTGGAAAACTCTCAGGTTTGATTTCAGGATTTTCCAGGTCTGGATAAGTTTTGAAAGTTATTTACATTTATAGGATTTATTCTCATTCTCTAAGATTTGTTTCCTTCCTTGTGTCTTTACATCTCATGTTTTACTTTTTCTTTCATACCTACTTTTTGTCCTCCCTTCTTTCACTTTTCATTTGCTCCACATTTTGTTTATCCTTCTTTTTATACTCTTCATCTTTTGTTCTCTCTTCGATTGTTTTTGTCCTTTCACCCTCTACCATCTTCTTGTTCTTCCTCCCTTGTTTCCTTCTCTCTCCTCTGTTCCTTTCTGTGTTTTCTGTGGTGTTTCCATGTTGCTCTCTTTTAAGACTTAAATGTTGAGGAAAAGAATCATGATGAACATTTTCATTGCTCTTTTAAAACAGTACTTAAAGGACAGGATTTGAGCCTGGACAAAGCTGAAATTTCGGACATGAATTATGTGCGGTTATATATTATATTGTTACAACAGCACAGTAACAAAATGCACCTCATTGAATATGAAAATATCTAAAGAGAATACAAACAATCGTATATTAATACCTAAATTGGAAATCTGTGAATTTTTAAATGCAGAATATATTCTTCTGTATGTTAATTGCACATTGTGCTGGTCGTACACATACTACACAACCCCAATAATGCTAAATACAGGACATAAGATATATTTATTCCAGGATCATGGTGTATTTAGCTTCATCCACCTTCCCATTGTTCCTACTGAAGACAAGCACCCCCACAGCATGACACTGCCACTGCTGTGTGTTATGACGGTGACTTGTGTTAGGGTGATGTGTGACGTCAGCCTTCTGTCACACATTTCGTTTTGCATCTTCGCCAAAAAAATTAACATTTGGTCTCAATGTCTGGATTCGATTTATTAATACTGGAGTACGGTGGTGCTGCAGAATGCAAATCCACACCACACATTATAGATTTTTATTTGTCTCTTCAATCCACTCTGTTATTATGCTACTCATTTATATTAGTCTGCATAAAATCAAAACATACCAAAATTGCAAAGTTCATACATTTAAGGAGGGACGGTTGTGAGCTATCTGACTGCAAGCACATCTACACAAACAGATTCAACACGTAAAAACTTTGCAGAAAAATAACTTGCATGTCTTTGCGCTTTTATGCACTGGAAGCAAGGCCCCCATCCCCCCCCCCCCCCCCCCAAAAAAAAAAAAAAAAATAAATCCTGCTCCCAATCCAAACGTCGTGCTGCGATAGGAAGGAGCTGTCTTCAGCTCTCGTCTATTTCGGCTCTCTGCTGCGTCAGCTGTGTTCACTTATTAAAGATAACGTGAAGAGGGTGGCAGGTTAACTCAGGACAGCAGTTTACTCTGCAGCGCTGGATGCTCTGGTTGTTTTGTGTATTTGCCGGAGCACAAAAAAAAAGAAGGAAGGAAAAAAAAAGTCTGCACAACAACATACCAGCAACAGACACGACGTCGATGCCAGTCATTTCTTAGCTTCTACAGTGTGTTTCAAATTAGCAAAAATGCAACAGAGCAGAGTTTTGGCTGGTGGTTTATACTTTGTTTGCTTTGCTGCATCTTTACCCCCAGGCAATTGATTTGCAGCTCTCCTTCTGCAGCTCCTGCATGCGAGCGTTGGCTTCCTCGCCCTTGTAGGCGGTGTAGCAATCCAGCCAGTGTCCACAGCGCATACCTGTGCTCACTGACATGTACTAACTCACTCTTCCTGCAGGCCATGGCAGAGGAACGCGCAGCAATCACAACAATTCAAAAGATGTACGTGGCAAAGAGGGGGGACAGGCAGAGAGGAGGGAGGGGGCATTAAAGAGAGATGATGGTAGGAATTAAATAAACAGAAGAAGAAAGAATTCTAAGAGGGAAGAGGAGAGACGAGTAAAGAAAAATGTGAGGCGGGGAAGAGATCAAACAAAAGTCAGAAATTGCCCAAGGGTTGGAGTCATTGGTGGATAGTGTGAGAGGAAGAGAGAAATCATTAATGAACGCCTGTCTGTTGCTGTCTGCTCATAAATCAGGATCTTCTTCATACGTCTCTGCAGAGCAGAGAAAGCTGCAAGACGGAGAGAAAAAGGAGAAACGAAAGAAGGAGACTGGTTCGGGGATGATCAATGAGAGTTTGTCCCTGCAGCATTTTATGGCTCAGCAAAGACGATTACCGTGCAGCAGTGTGCTGCGTTCAATAAACTAGCTTTATTCTGGTCTAAAATGCAAAAAGAAAAAAAAAAAAAAAAGCAACTCTGAAATGAAAAACTTCCTTGTTCAACATTACGGTACATTAATACTCCAAAATATTTCATACAAATACTGTGCAGTTCATTCAAGTAGAAAAACCCCCCGACATGCTTATGAAGGAAAGCAAAACAAATTTTACAACCCTCTGAAAGTTAACGAGGAGAGTAAAGAAAAGCTTGTGCTCTGTGCAGCCTTACAGTATCAGCCAGCAATAAAACAGAAGGCAAACTTTGACCTCAAGGCTGAGGTCAGAGCAAAAGCTCCGATTTATAGATTGCGGTTGGTTTTCAAGCAGTGGCAAACCCGAGCGAGTCCATGAAGTCGGATGTTTATCGTCTTTCATGTCTCTGCAGAGGCAAATTCAAGTGCGAGAAAAATTGGGGTTATCACTGTTTGAGGTTAAAGCATACAAATGATTAACAGAGAGCTGACATCTCAGACCGAGGTTGAGTCAGGTTTTCACCCAACGGATCCTTCAGAAAAATAAATAAATAAATAAATACTCCTCCCAGTGAAAAATACTTTTGTTTGACACAAACTACCACTTTTAATTAAAGGTAACATGGAGTTCCACAAGAATGTTTTCATAATGACCATTTTGTCACATTAGACCACAAACTTCAAAGTATTTTACTGGTATTTTATGTGATAGACAATCACCAAAAGCTTCATCAACAAAGATATTGAGACCCCTGTACTCTGATACCTGCAAACAAAATTCAGTTGTTGAGGTTATGTCTCTACCACATTTCATCTAAAGACGTTTTTGCTCATTCTGTAGCTCAAACCTTCCGCAGAACGTCTATAAAGATAATTGTTTTACCACTGATTAGATTAAATTAGATTGCATCAGAGTAGCATTGGATCAGATTAGATTATCCTGACTTTTGACTGGGACTTTTCAAAAACATTTCAAGACATGGTGCCACTGATATCCCTAAAACAAAAAAAAGAATTTTGCTATGAAGACGGTTTCACCAAAACAACGTTGAACTGTGGTTAAGACCAACTGTGTTTAAAAACATAGCTGAGCTAATGAAGCCTTTGGTTGCGCTAAATCTGGACCAGATATGTGGCTTTTCTGGGCTAAATAAAGATTAGCCAACTAATCTCGGCTAACAAAGATGTCAACGGATGTCCAGAGTTTAGAAAGAGGTGGAGTTGTGGTGTGTTCAGGGTGGACAGTGTTCTGCCTTTAGGTCAAAAAGATATATTTTCTTCTCATGAACTGCATCTTCAGGTGGAGTTGGAGTAAAAGGGGTGAAAAGAAATGCAGGCCACACTCTTCAGAATTTTATTTTTAAGACAAAAAATATGATAAACTATATTACTTTGAATATAACTTCCACTTTACAAGTGTTTTATCTGACAGATAAAATCCCAGTAAAACACAGCGACGTTTGTGGTTGCAATGTGACAAAATGTAAAAAAACTAAAATAAAAAGATGAACGGGCTGTGAATACGTTTCTGTACACATCTGGATCAACAATGCATGCTGTAGCTGCTGGTAGTCATAAATCAAGTTAATCTGCAGAGAAGGTGTGTCATTATTCCTCATGCTTGATGAATTACGCCTTGCTCCGAAAAGGAAAGCCCAGCTTAAATTATAGCTCAAACATCCAACAACTGAAGTTAGAATCCTCCTGGTGAAAGAGCCAACCAGTGACCTTAGTTTCCTCTGCCTCAGTCTGCATGCAGCAGCATCAACAATCTCATCTGGAGCTGGCTTTTTGACTTTCAAATGATGAAAAAAATTATCTTCCTAAATTCAAAGGAGCGTCTTCCTCGAATGTTTCCTCCCAGCATTCCATTCCAGTCCCGATTCATCAATCCAAAGGACGTGTCGCTTGCTTCAAGTGGGGCGGTGCAATTAGATTTAGACATAAGAAGAAGGAAGAGAGATGAGAGAGTTAGTTTTGTCACATTGGCTGCTGTATGGAGGCTGAACAGTGCTGGCACAGACTGATTCTGCTATTATGCTGTAATTTTCAGCTGTTGGCACCTTTAATAAATAAATAAATAAATACATCCATCCATCTTCTTCTGCTTTATCCGGGAACCCTATAATTTAAAAACTCTAGTATCAGTGAATGGGAAACCTTGGAGAATGTTACTTTTATGGAAATGTGAAAAACCTAACGCTCATCTCAGGAGGGTGAAAATAAGGAAGCAGCCAGTCCAACTCTTGCTACAGTTCAAAAAAAGACCTCAGAGAGATGGAGTCATATTATTTCAAGTTAAACATACTCACAAGCTGATATAACTTTTAAAAAGGTTTTAATCTCTAACATACAGTTGAACACAGGTGTTTATGGTAGATTACATCTCCATGGACTAAAATGTGATGAAAATTTTAAGCTTTTAATTACATCTTTCATGGT